CCAAACTGTAAAGAAATAAAAAAAAAGTATCATGATTTTTTACTATCCTAAAATTACAATATCGTGATAAATAAATATTAATTCTGTCTACCCAGGAACCAACCTCTTCGGACCTCTCGGCCACAAGATGGGCCGCTGGTTGGCCGCCTGCTCTGGACTGCTCATCATTGGAATCTGCCTCATATTGGTATGTCAAAACCACTAGAATGTCGTATAAAGCTCATATAAATGAACTACACTGAACTGTCCCACCAAACACATTGACAGGGGGGCGCCACCACCGTTCAACTTTATAGTTTCCAACGTGGAAAATATTGGAATCAGCGATCTGGTATTGACGGTGGCGCCCCCTGTCAATGTCACGGGTGGGACAGTTCAGTGTAGTTCATCTATAGCAGACTATTGTCAACTCGGAAAGGGATCAACACCGTATCGCCTTTCGAGGCGAGGCGTTTACGTTACGTTGCGGATAAGGGCCCTCGCCCACGGCGACTTTTTGTAGCGATGCAGTCGCGCATTGGTAGCGCGTTGCCATCACTTCTGTGGTGCGTTGAAAATGCGATTAAAGTCACCGTGGGCGAGGGCCCTAAGGTGTGCGTTGCAGTATGAATGAAGTACGAGTATACTGACCGTTTCGAGTTGATAGGGTTATGATCCCTTTCCGGTTTGATAAAATAATTAATGTACTACGTCTTTTATTCATTCTATTTCTTTTAATTCCTTTCCATTCAGGGTTGCATTATTTAAATCAAGTGGATTTAAATCACGATTTTTATTACATGATATTTTTAATAAAAATCATTGATTTCCGAAAATGGAATTAATGAAAGGCTGGGAATTAATATTAATCAACTGTAATGTTCGAAAACAATGTTAATATTAGGTGTTAATGTATGAAATTGTCGTTTTGTATGGAGAATCTGAAAAATTTAATTTTTCCATACAATCACATTTGCGATTTTTCAGATAACCACATAATTATTTTTTTTTTGGCAGTGTTGCCTGCTCCATACATCAATTCTACGTAAATAAAAATGTATTCCGTAAGAAAAACTAAAGAAATGATCGCAGAACCTAATAAAAAATAAAAAAAAATCAAATTAATCAAAAAAATCGTGATTTTTTATAAAAAAAACTGATTTTTTTGATTAAAATAAAAAAATCGTGATTTTTATCCACCCTGTTTCCACTATATAATATTCCGTATAATATATTATTTACCTTCCTAGATCCCCATGGCCCGTAAACTGGAGCACCTCATCATTCCCAACGCTGGGCTGGGCTTCGCCATCGGCATGGTGGATTCGTCCATGATGCCGGAGCTAGGTTTCCTCGTGGACATCCGCCACGCAGCGGTCTACGGTTCCGTGTACGCCATTGGTGATACTGCGTTCTGCTTGGGATATGCTGTTGGTGAGTGACATCCCGACCATAGCCCAAAGGTGTCAGCATGACTGCCAATTTTTAACCATTCGAGATTCAAGAGACGTTGGTTCGATTCCCATAGCCGGTTGACATAGCCCGACGGATTAGCAAGCTGAAGAGTGGCAGTGGGCAAAGCACATAGTACGCAGAACTGACGGCCGATGGGGCAGCAAGGTTCTGGAATGGAGGGCCGCGTACCGGAAAACGCAGCGTGGAACGGACGTTCCACGCTCAGGTCAGGTCGTCGGTGGGTGTCCACCCACAAGGTGGACCGACGACCTGATGAAGGTAGCACGAAGGCGCTGGATACAGGCCGCTACCAACCGTGCGATGTGGAAGTCATTGGGGGAGGCTTATGTTCAGCAGTGGACGTCCTGTGGCTGAAATGATGATGATGGTTCGATTTCCGTCTACTTCTGGACTATTGTACTAGTGTGACTAAGATCTTCCATGGTGTGACGGAGACAGAGCTGGTTCGGAGGTTTTGGGTTCAATTCCCAGTGGAATCAAACTTTTGGTTCGGTTTCGTTGCTGGTAAGGCTTGACCTAAAGCCATGTGGCTAGTTACATCTTAATAAATTTGTCGCCATAAAAACAATGTTACCAGCATTGTTGTGTTACGGCTATGAGACAAGATAGCTAGTTCTTCTGTGATTGAGGATTCTTGGTGAAACTCTCGGCATTATTTTTCAAATCAAATTAAACCATTTCTTTGGTCTATCAGGGAGATACAGAATACTGTGTAGTAAAATTAGACTTTTAGGGTTACTAAATTCATTTTTTTTCCTAAGGACCTGCATTCTCTGGAGCCCTAGTCAACAGCATCGGCTTCGAATGGATGCTAGTCATCATTGCAATCCTGAACTTCGCGTATGCTCCGTTCCTTCTTCTGCTGAGGTCACCGCCAGCGAGGGATGAGAAACAGGTACGTTCATCATCATGTTATTAGTCTCCATTGTAGGAGCACGACCCTCTCTAATTTACTAGAGACAATGGACGATTCGGCCTACACTCCCCACGCTGGTCAGACGGGTTGGGGAGGCCTGATGTTCGCGAGTTTGTCCCTAAGACGCTTATGACATCCACGGGAAGAGTGTGGGTGGACCTATTCTCATCATCATCGTCAACAGCCCTTTACAGTCCACTGCTGGACTATGAGCCTCCTCCACTTTAGTGAAGGGTTTTTCCATAATCTCTACGCTTGGCAGGCGGGTTTGAGATCGCAGTTTAAAAGATTAATGTTTTTCAGAGAGCGCTGCTGCCCGTTCTCTGTATAATATGTAGTCCCTAAGTCGCCTCTTACGACACCCGCGGGAAGAGTAGGAGTTGGTGACAAATATATTCTACTCTGCCGTCACCACACGACTGAATGAGATGAATGAGAATGAGAAACACCAAGATGATTATAATTTTCCATATTTTCAGAGCTTGATCATCAGCGACAAGTCATCGGTACGCTACGTCAGCTACCAAAACGAGGAAGAAGAATAAAGCCCGCCAAAACCGCCGCCATCTTGGATACCGCCGTAATGTCATTTTCTTTTTTATTGTCTTTGGAGTGGTGTTACTGTACAAAAATAATGAGGTTTGCTTAGCAAATATAATAATAAATAGCGACGTCTAAGGAGTGTACAACCTGCTGTAGTGTTGCCAAAATATATTCAACGATATTATAATATATTTATTGATTATGGCAATATAGAATATAATTGGTAACATAAAAGTTTAAGAAGCTTGTAACTAGTGAGGAAAGCATATATTATACACATATTATAATATAATATTAATATTATATATTTACATTATACTGTAGGTATTGCCCAAATATTCATATATTTGCTAATCTTATATTATTATACGACTTTAGAAATCTTCTCTGAAATATACCATTATGACCAATTTACCTGTGACCTGTCTATATTTTCAAGCATATAGCATATTATTATACATCCCATAGACTACCAAGTTATTAATATCATAATTGTGTAATTAGGAATCACAATTGATGTAGTACTTTTATCTCTTTACTATTGCAAATATACCTACTTGCATATCTTCATAACACTACGTAAACCTTTTCTATGTAGAAACTAAATTGTGATTCCAATAAATATACATAATGTCGCCACTTAGTCAGGGTGTATCGTAGGAATGAAATAATACAGAACATATCTATATTTACCCACATATTTTACATATAATGTTATTTAATATCTTTCTTTTCTTGTAAGAATATCTTGCAAAATATTATATGTTTCCATAAACTTAGTACCCAGTCGACATTTGAAAATGCATATATTATGGAAAAACACATTGTACATTATGTTAATAATACAACACAATAATCGATTCAGCCAATCATAGGTTTTGTCTTGTGATTGGTCTAAATATTAAAATTCAACCAGCGGAAAGTCACATTCTTTGCTTCGAAATTAATATAGTTTTGAGCTACGAAGTAGTAGACATGTGAAGGTAATACGAACAACTAGGGACTGGAATTTACTACCTGTTGATATACGATTATAATAATATCTACAGAAATGGCAGTTAAAATCTAGAAAAAATCTTAAAACGTGTCGTACTTTGTCGTAAATTT